TTTCTATCTCTCTGATAACCGCAATAGGTGTGTATGATAGTTACATAACAATTGCCACGTTTGTGTCAATAGATATTGTTTAGCCAATCATCTTTGACATATGTTCGCCTCTTTTTAAACTTTACCGAATAATCCTTTGATCGTGTACGTGTTCAAGATGTACGATTGATAGAACTATGTTTTGCATACTAAAAAATTAAAATTGATATGACGTTAGATTTGACCCAACGTTTACTTTATTATTTTGTAAGAGAGAAATTAAAATATTTTCATTAATATGTATTAATATATTTTATATTGTATATCGCAATACTACGCACAATACTCATAGAACGTGAATGGACATGAGATTAATTTTTAACAAAAAATATAACTATTTGCTGTTAAATTTTCGATATATTCAAAATTCGTTGATATTGATAGGCGATTGGGCGATTTCGAATACAATCCACAAACACGCCGCTGACAGATCGAACGATCGGTAGCGCGGACAGATTAATCAGTCACCATTTTTCCGACCGAACACAATACCCGGCGACTCCGGAACAATGGGAAGCATTCCTAATTAGCAACAAAATACTTGAAATAGCGTAATGAAATATTACGATTCATCGATTTGTAGTAATTTATTATCGCTCGAAGGGAGAGGCGTAATTGCTGCTCCATGTCTAATTCCCGTTAATGAACAACTATTAAATTGCACGATAACGCATCGTGAGAACTGCCTGTACAAACAATAATTACTTTGAAGTGGCATTATGCAGCTATTTGAAATTATGTGTAACATTTAATTAACGTCTTAATGCGATTATTGTTGCGTTGCGAACTCGTTAGCGCGATGATACGTATTGTCTGAGATACGCGGCGGAGATGAGCGCTCTCTTGTACGATACATATCGCGAGATTTGACATATATGTATAAAATATACCAAATTATACGGCCCGCACGCGTTTGCTCGAAATAAAATAATTAAGAGCCGCCGACTTTATCGCTGAAAAATGCACGAGCTTTCGGTGAGTGTTCGCTCCGCTTAATTAGCCGTAATGGACATAATGAATTTTACATTAGACCGAGTTTTATCATTTTCGAATAAAAAAAAAGGGTGGACGGGGGAGAAGGGGGAGTAACTCTCGTACTCTCATAAACTCGGCGCGTTACCGGTGCAGCCAGTGTCACTAAACGCAACCAATCCCCGTTGCATCGAAGTACATAATCGTGCGGCTGCTACATTTGCCCGTGAATGCGACGAGTACCGTTTTCACGAAGCGCGAAAAAGTTATTTACTCAGTCATCGTTTTATTACAATATGT